AATTATGGTGAAGGTACAGCCTAAAATTAAATTTTGTGCTTTATKTTAAGGTTAAAAAACACATTAGAAGTAAATCATTAATCCAAAGGAGCTCTGATCCTTGCTATTAATAGCAAAGTAACTGATATATAGCAGAGATTATATACCTGAGTTCCTAAAATAGACTTGGTGTGAAAAAAATAGCACATGTGCTAGTCCTGTTGGTGAAGTACGTTCCAAGGATCAGCAGGTTGAGTTCTTCCTTAGGATCATAGTTGCTGCAGGTGGAGATATCTGCTCAGCTATGAAAACTGGAGAGAATCCCACCTCTACTCTGCCCAGGCGCATCCCTCAGTCTTGCTGATAGAGCAGAAACAGTTTATCCAGCATTTCCTCTTGGACCAAGGGTTTGTGACAGCGACAATAATATGTGGTGTTTCATAATTACTAATTTTCCCTGAAGGGACCTGCAGCTGGAAGTGCGTACAGTTATGAAATGTCAACACATTCCCTTCCCAGAATGAATGGAAAGATTAAGAGGAAATTCTTTCTTCAAGTTCATCTTTTCCCATTCAAACTGGACTTATACCACAACCATGCAGCACAGCATTGGGAGAGTGTAAAACTATGAATTCTGTTTAATTTGATTCAATTTAAAATAAAGATAATTTTCAGTTTTACATAMAAATACTTTCAATTGGAATTTGATAACTTTTCTTACACTGAAAAACTGCTTTTCCTATTACAGGTCTGTTGAATTCAATAGACTTGAATTTGTGGTATAAAGAATCACTTAACATGATAAAGCATTGCAATATCAGACTTTGCCACAGGAAATATTTTTGTTTTGTATTTACAAGGATCTCACCTGTTAGACATATTGTCCGTGGGAGGAGCTCTTAAGCATATCACCAGACAATAAATTACCAAAAATAAATAGTTACAATATCAAAGGTACACTGGCATAACACCAGCAGAACACAATGGAGGCATCACAGGACTTCTAGTTTTCTCCAAGGTAAATAAAGGCAGATACTTGAGCAGCTATAGCACTTCTCTGTAAATCATGACATGAACATCTCACTCAGGTATCTAAGGAAAATACACTCAGGAACACTAAACTGATACTTCTTTAAGCTCCACTTGCTKCCCATATTTTTATAGTAGAGCTCCTAACTACCTGATCTTGCTCTCTGTGCTCATGCTGCCATTTGTTCTTCCAGCCTTAAAAAGTCACGAATTACGGACTACAAAAAGACTCTCTTTCCTTGAAACACCATGAAAAATTCCTGCATTGCTCTTCCCTCTGTTACAGAGTGATGGGAAATAGTCACTTCAGAATTTCAAGGGTAAACTCTGGCAAAAAAACAAAACAAAACAAAACAAAACAAAACAAAACAAAAAAAAAAACCCCATAAAGTTGAGATGATCACTTTAAATTAAAAAAATCATCATGCATCTGCCAGGGAGGAGATGTAACACTTAAGGTATGACCAAACCAAAATAGTAAGGAAAGAGGAAAATTGGTGCTTTAATCAGACTGCTTTTCCTCACCAAATYGTATTGCAAAGTGCTGTCTAATTAGGTATCTCTTATCACCTGTGTGTCCTTCAGATGCACAGTTTGGCAGGCAGCTTCTTGCTGTCACTAAGCACCAGTTTTCTCTAAGATATATTAGTTCACATTTCCCAGGGTCAATCTCACTGTATTTTCCTGCCCATGTTTGCAACTACTCTTTGATAATTGGTATTGCTGCTCTTATTTGATGGATTAGGCAAATCTGAATCCTCCCTTGTTATGGCACATCCCTAACAGTTTGGTCTCCAAAACAACATGGAATGGAATATCATTTCACTTTCATCAAATTGTCAACCCACATATCACATGTAGTATCATGAACTACATATTTATTCACTTGTGTGATTTCATGAGATTCTCTAACAGTWTTCTTACCAAGATGTAAACACAGTTTATGAATTGGCCAATGTCTGCAAAATCGAGCTATTCCAATAAGTTTATTTTTTAGACACTGAAGCTGTTTCATCATTTATGGCTTCACATTCACTCACGGAGTCCAATCCTACCTCCTATACTTACCCAAATTGTTCCAGGCAGGGACTATAAGAATGGCCAGAATTTGGCCCTGTATACTTATTTCACCCTGGTTGAAAAAAAGCACAAATGTTAATATCATCAGGCACCTTTCAACACTGAATGATTAACATGATTTTTGGAGGAAGTTCAACACATAACTGCCAATGAGACTAATAATTATTTTGTGCACCCATAGTTACTTTGTGACAAATACTTCACAACAGCACTGACAGATCATCAAATGTATTTGTTGAGATCTAGATTTCTCTGCCTTTAGCACCATTCTTTATTTCTGGCACGTGTTATAGAGCAACCTGTATGACAACAGATCTGCTCATATGCCCTATGTTTTGACTGCTCCTACCTGGCATATTGTTTCCCAAAYACCTGTATAAGCCTCTTCTAAAACTGTTTTTTGTGTCTGCTTTCACTGCAAGGAAGGGCAAGGGTAACAGAAAATCCCACTAACTGGTGTTCTTCATTGGTATTGAAGCCTATTGAAACTGAGACTATGCCCAGAAAGAGCATTCACAGTTTTGAYCTGTGAAAAGGGTCTGTAGCCCTTCATTAGCACAGCCTAATGTAGCTATCTAACCCTTCTGTGGGTTTCAGCTKTTTGTGAGCCAGACCTAGTTCTGATAGCTCTGAAAAACTTCAGAAAAAATTGCTCTATTGTGAGAAAGCACACAGAGGCTTGCCAGATAAGAAAGGCAAAACAGCCTCTGGTAGTTTTGAGATGTGGCTAGTTAGCAGTTCAAGGATTCAAAAGGGGGAAACACTGCTATGAAACAGTGCAAAATCCTARGAGAGAAAGCAGGTGGTTGGAAGACGGCAACAAGGCAATGATCAACCTTTTCCAAGGACAGCAAAGACTTTTCTCTGTATCGCTGACAGATGCCTGGTCAGCAGAGACTCACTGTTTTGGAAGAAACATAGCTTCAGCAATGTGACTGTAAAAGATCCTGACACTAAATGTCGGTTTAAGGTGTGAAACTGTGAAAATCATAATCTTTTAGCCTTTGGTTATGAAATCCCGCACCTGAAGACTCTAGTTTGTCTTTGCTGTGAGCTTTTGTTCTTCACTGTGGATATTAGTCATATGATTWAGTGGTAAAATGAGTAATATAATGCAATGTACTGAGGGACACTCCTAGAGCACAGAAATCATCCTTCCTTAAACATCTTGACATGAAGACCTGAGAATCTTCAGAGGAGATCTGAGAATCAGATCAAACTTGCTCAGACTTGATCTGTCAAGAAAATGATGAAGAGCTTAAACTTGTAAAATGGCAGAGGAAGAGGATCTGCAAAATGCAGGAATAACAACATCCTCCTACTAATGAAATTGTCAAGGCCTCTAATAAAGAACAAATGATGTTTCAATTTTGATTATGCTATATTAATGGTTTGACAACAATGAGTTTCTCATTGTACATTAAACCAGTGTGTTAAAATGTGRCACATGAAGTACCTCCTTTCCCTCCCTACACCTGTAACAGAAAGAAATCCAGAAAAYGTTACCATTGAAACACAATTAAACCTCAGAATTCAGTCTCAAAAAAGTTTGATAAAGACATGAACCACAGGGTACTTAGACCTTTTTTTTTTTTGTATGATGGTTGCACATACAAGCCAAACCCCTGGAGATGCTAACTCTACTTCTGACTGAAACACCATCTCATTTACAATTTCCTACTTTCTTTGGTTTTTTTTAAATCTGACTTGTAGAAGTAATTTATCTTTTGCACATTTGCAATGAGATTCAGATGATGGAATCTGCTCTCGGACCTTCCTGGGGCGCTTGTTATATAACAGTACCTCGCCGAGGTTTAATGCCTTCTCAGTGCCTCAGTGTTATCATGGGCTAAATCAAATGAATATTTAACRGGGTCAGGCCACACTGAAAATAGTTTCCGACCGGGAAAATGACTGACTGAATGTGTAGTTAGTTAATATTCGGGTATAGATTTATGCTTATTTTTACATAGTGTCCTAATAGCAGAGATGCAGTATAAGAAATAAAGCAAAACGTCTCATTATGCTCCCTGTGTGTTATCCGCGTGTTAAGTTTTACTCCAAGCGCTTATAAAAGTTTGGTCCCTTGCCCAGAGTAAACCTGGGCTGCAGCATATGTCATTAAAGGTTAAYATCGACCCTYCCGCTTGCAGAAYGTTTTCACTGAGGGTTCGCTTGCCKCGGRCAGACGATATTSGCACTCGTTTCCTTGGCCCRGGGAGACGAGAGCGGAGCCCAGGGACCGCGGCCCGGCTGCTGCTCGCTGGGGCCGGCTCGTTCCCCCCGCCCCGGGGCCCCGCAGCGCGGCCAAGCGCCGCCGGCCCGCCCCGGACCGCGCCCTCAAAAAGGGGACGGGGCGGAGGAGCGGCGCGACTTACACCGGCTGCTGCCGGGGAGGCTGCACCGCGCCCGCACCGACGGCTGCCCGGGGAAGCGGCGGGGCCCGCCCGAGCCTCGAACGC